GAAGACATGTCGAAAAGCTTTTGAGGGCTGCATGTTCAACAAAAAGGTAGCACACAACGAAAGCTTCCTCCATCCTTGGTTTGACACAAAGGAATTCCGTGAGCAACAAATCTCAACGATGGCCCGCGCTGGGCCTTTGGCAGCGCAAGAGCGGGGAGTATCGCTGTAAAAGAAAAGGCAACATCTCAGCTGCAGCGCTCAGTTTGGGAATCACAGTACGAGCTGCCACTTCTTGCAAGTAACTTTCGAGCGTAGCTTGGTGCTTGATTCTCATTCTCCACATGAGCAGTGGGATGTCCATGGAGTCCTGGAAGGCGGAAACACACCCGCCTGCCCTAGCGTCCCATCTTCTTCGAAAGGAGGCTGGAGATCCATTATAAAGTGGCTCCATAGGTCCTAGTGGGCCTAACACAGCAAACAGGAAGTCGAAAAAGCTCAACTCACGGATGGCGCTGTGTTGGAGTCGCCCTCGGCTCTTCCGCCTTCCTTTGGGCTCTGGGATGATCAGGAAAATCGTTTCGCGGTCCAACTCAAGGGCATCACTCGGAAAGACCAAATTTTCTCGGACGGCTCGCAAGGGCTCACCTGGTCGGGTGATCCCTAGGAAAGAAATTGCAATCATAGCAGCTGCGCGCTCCCACTTCCAAAGTATTGCGGTCGCAACTAAAGCTCTGAAAATCATTCGTGGGACGGGTGTTCTATGCTCCGTCGGTTCAAGGATCTCCCACTTGGAAACCGTATCCCACAGGATTGAGGTGTACAACTTAGTTTCAACGAAGTTCCTCTGCAAATAGAGGATCAGGTGCCTTAGCATATACAAGGACTTGCCGGTTGAATACAAGACCGAAGCATGCCGGTTGAATACAAGACCGAAGCAAAAACTCTTACCATCTGAACCAGCAAAGCGGGGTGCAGAAAAACACTCCTACTAACCTCAGGCGCTAGTGCTCCACGAAGCCATGTAACAAATCTTGACCACACTTCTTGCTGAATGGCAGCGGTTTTAGGAGTCACTAGAAGCACGTCCTCTAGGTTACAAGCTCTGTTGGGCCGGACTGGCCCAGGATGAGCAGCTTCGCCGATATTCCGGTTGGTGATCTTTGCACAATCGGCCGGATCACAGGCACCTTCCCATTTCCTTAGTCTGAGGCTCAAAGCAAGAGATGCTGCCACGGCAAACGCGACACCGGCTGGGTATGGCTGAGCTATTAGAGTCCAGCTCATACGTCGGTGCGGACATCGGCCCCGTAACAACACATGCTTTAGGCAGCCTGCGCAGAGGGTCTTGACACCTCCAATCACTGTGTTAGTTACAAAACGGGTTCTCTTCCTCCAAGGCATTCCATATCTGCAATAGTCTACAACCAACCATTTAAGCTGAGGACACGCTTCGAGCAGGAGTTGGAAGTCAGGGATCCTAAACATCCACGAAGTATGAGGGTTTTCTAACCACACCGCCATGTTCAGGGCACAAGCTCTTCGAAGCAGTGCAAAACAAAAGGCGCCAAAACTATTTCCAAGTTCGACCTTAGCTTGCATTTTCTCCGACAGGTTGGGAATACCCATCGGGTGTTCTCTGGTACGAATGGCCGGCGCGATGGCCATGGAGAAACTGGCGCACACGGGGGCCATGCCGGATGCGCAAAAGCATCCTCCCTCGACCAACATCAAAATCTTTCTTTGCACTTTCTGGTCGCCAAGATCTTCAGAAGGGCTATGCGCAATGCCAAAACATAAGGCCCATCTCCCGGTGTGGTGAACCCAGGATTTGGCAACTCCTCGTTCTCCAGAAAACAAATCAAGATAACCAGGGTCGGCAAAAACTCCGTCCCAGTTCTTTGGAAAGAGAAACTGATCGGCGGGGAAACTTTTCAACAATGTGAGCAGCTCCGGGTCGGCGGTGAACGTCCGGTCCCCGGTCATCCTCGTTCCGTCATATTGTCGCATCGGTGCAGCAGCCTTTGCAGAGGCGGGCACTGAACTCGAACTGTTCGTCTCAACACACGCGTTGTCTTGGCAAAAGGAGTCAACAGCTTCTTTGTGGCATGGAAGGTTGGCTGGCTTGGAAACACCGTTTTGTGCAGATTGGCCCATACTAGATTCCTTAAACCCGAACACTTTATGAAGAGTGTACTGAGCCTTTGCGGGTGGATTGGCAAGCTTGGTTCGGCATGTTGGTTGGTGAGTTGCCCTTGACAGCCTTTCTATCTGAGGTTTGTCGCTTGGAGTGCGCCCTCGTCACCTCGTGGATGCGCCCTCGTCACCTCGTGGATGCTGCTTGTGGGCGCTGCCGCGCATGGTCTTGTTGATTGAGTCTGCAAGATCTTGTGGCATGGAAGATTGGTTGGGTTGGAAACACCGTTTTTGGCAGGTTAGCCCATAGTAGATTCCTTAAGCCTGAACACTTTATGAAGAGTGTGCGAAGCATCTGTGGGAAGTGGGTTGCGGCTGAGCCTGTTTGTGCAGCCTTTGCAGAGGCAGGGACGCCATTTAACACAGATACCGATACCTCCGTCTGCGCTTCATGAGCCGAGGCACCATGCTTCACCTGAGCTGAAGGAGAGTCATCTGTTGCACTCTTCAGTACGAGAATTTCCAGCTAAATCCAAAATGAAATGATCTCTCAAAGTGCCAAAACTCTCTGCAAATGGTAGCCCTTCTTCTAGAGGAGGTTCAGAGCGCACCTCCTCCAGGGCGTCCAGCTCTGAAGGCATCAGGCTTCCGACGCGGGCCAATCAAGACCTCACGAATGGAGGGCAGCCCAACGAACACTGAATCGCCAAACTCACCGGCGCGAGCACACAAGTCCTTAGTGGCCGTATAGGAAGTAAGGACCTTGACAGGGTTGTAGAGAGCGCCAGAGTGGTCACGGCAGACCAAATAGATCTTGGACCACAACTGCCGGGTTTTCTCCCGGCCTGACAGGCCCCTCTGGGCCCCACTCAGAGCTCGCCTCAGGAAAGCCCCAATCTCTCGCGAGACTTGCTCACGAAATGCCCAGCTGAGCTCAGCTGGAGTGCCCCTGTCCGGGGCTGGCGTCTCGCCCTCCTCCTGCACGACGGTCCAGGCAGATGATTCTGGCCCAGTGACAAAAGGAACCCCTTCGAATCGATCCAAGGCCTGGCTGTAGCTCAATGATTGAGAACTCTGACACTGACCCAACAAACGCAGCTGATCCTCCTGCCTTTCAACACGAGAGGCAAGAGCACGCAGATCCTGTCGGAGATGTGTGATCTCTGTCCTCAATGCCTCAAGCTCTCTTTCCATCCACTAAAAAGACTAGTGTAAAGGAATCGCCGCCACCTCTGGCGGAGTAACCAAAGGAGATCGAGAACAGGCCCAGCAAAGCTTCCCAACAAGAGTCCTGCGAAAAACCAAACCAGCCGAGGTTCTTGCAACCAGGATTCGAGGGCCGGCGGGCAATAGCACGCCTCAGTAGGGGTGTAGTCCACGAACTGCCCGCGGAGAACCTAGAACGCCAAGGAGCTGAGTGCTCCGCCCCCCCCACCCAAGGCCAAAGGCCGGCGCGGGTCCATGCAACCCTTGATCCCTGATGCTGCGGGGGTTCATAGCAAATTCATGGGAACCAGAGTCCAGGTGTCTTCATGAACGTCAAACCTGAAACCTCCCTGTCATATCTGTGGAGACAGACTTTGACAAAATAAAGCGAGCAGCTAGTGACAAAGTAGAGTTTTCACTGCTGGTGAAGTGGCACTGTTTCACCGCTAGTGAATCTGTAGGGGTAGGGGTAAGGGATTTTAAAAAATAGCGTCAAAAAATATTCGACGGGGATCAATTATTTAAAAAACAAGATGGAACCCACGAACCCGAATGCAAACACGATCGAAAAACTAATATGTCCAAAGGACACTCTTGTAGGACACTCTTGCGGGACACTCTGTAGGACACTCTTGTAGCACACTCTTGTGGGCCACTCTTGTAGCTCTTGTGGGACACTCTTGTAGGACACTCTTGTGGGACACTCTTATAGGACACTCTTGTGGGACACTCTTGTGGGACACTCTTGTGGGACACTCTTGTGCGACACTCTTGTAGGACACTCTTGTGGGACACTCTTGTGAGACAATCTTGTAGAACACTCTTGTGGGTCACTTGCAGGACACTCTTGTGGGACACTCTTACACGACACTCTTGTAGGACACTCTTGTGGGACACTCTTGTAGGACACTCTTGTAGGATACTCTTGTCGGAAACTCTTGTGGGACACTCTTGTGGGACACTCTTGTGGGACGCTCTTATAGGACACTCTTGTGGGACACTCTTGTGGGACACTCTTGTAGGACACTCCCGTACGACACTCTTGTAGGGCACTCTTGTGGGACACTCTGCGGGACACTCTTGTGGGACACTCTTGTGGGACACTCTTCTAGGACACTCTTGTAGGACACTCTTGTGGGATACTCCTGTAGGACACTCTTGTGGGGCACTCTTATAGGACACTCTTGTGGGACACTCTTGCGGGACACTCTTGTAGGACACTCTTGTGGGACACTCTTGTGGGACACTCTTGTGGGACACTCTTGTGGCTCACTTGCAGGACACTCTTGTGGGACACTCTTAGGAAAATCTTGTGGGACACTCTTCTAGGACACTCTTGTGGGACACTCTTGTGGGACACTCTTGTAGGACACTCTTGTGAGACACTCTTGTAGACCACTTGTGTGGGTCACTTGCAGAACACTCTTGTGGGACACTCTTACACGACACTCTTGTAGGACACTCTTGTGGGACACTCTTGTAGGACACTCTTGTAGGACACTCTTGTGGGACACTCTTGTGGGA